TTAACGGCAGAACTCCATCACCTCTCAATAGTGCCACGGGCTGGCAACAAAACCTTCAACACATTAGACTTTGGGGACCTCTCCAGATCCAAACTATAACTAGCAATTGTACCTTGGGGAATTGATGCTTAGAAACAAGCACCTGCATCTAAGATTAGCAGCACTGTTTGTACAGAGATAGAACTGATATAACCAAAATATCCTCAGCAGGAAAAAAACTGAATAAATTGGAATAATCCACACTGTGGACTATTATGCAACCATAAAAATGGGTTAAAATAGTAACATATTAAGGTGGGGAATATTCATTATACATTGCACTAAAAAGGGAGTTACAGAGTAATGTAAGCGGTGTCATCCCATTTTTATGTTTTATAAAAGAAAAGAAACATTTCATACATATAATTTATAAGACATTTTTGTGACTGTAAAGGAAAGCATAGAAGAATCATGTTATGGCTTGTATCTAGATGTCCCTCCAAAATGGTCATAGGTGGGCTTTTCAGGGGGCTGGATCTAGGCTTAATGCTGCTGGAATCCAGGATGTGATGCTGGGATTGATTCACAGTGCAATGCTAGGATTAGAGTGCTATCTGCTATGACAGTGGATAGCCTGGGTAAAATATAAGGGACAGAAAGAGCTGTGGTCATGGCTTGTCACTTGCTTGCTGCCTTCTGCCTGCCCTGCTTTGCCATGAACTGTTTCTCCTCTGTGATGCCCCTCTGCTGTGCCACCCTGCCTTGGAGCCAGCTGACTATGGACTAAATCCTCTACAAACTGTGAGCCAAATAAAACTTTCCTCCTTTAACTTTGGGTGTTGGGTATTTTCGTCTCAGCAATGAGAAAAAGTAACCAAGACAGATCATATTTAAAAACACTGGCAATACTGGTTACCTTTGGGTATAGAATTGGTCCAGAAGAAAATATATTTTTATACATTTCTTTGTTTTTAGTTATTACAAGTATATATTGCTTTTGGTGTATGAAAATATACAGTGGGTTGCTCTTAAAGGAAACACATGTGCACACACACATACAGTTAGCTCCCAATGACTTTGTCTTCATATCAACATATGGAACCAGCAATGTGGATAATTCACAACGTACTTGTTTAATGTCCAGGTCATTAATAAAAGTTCATAGAAAAGAATGAAGCTGTTCTGTTGAAGAATAACTATGCAAGACTTGCTCCTAGCCCTCTTCACCCTGTAAATGTTCATACCTACAGATGGTCATCTCTCAACAGATGCCAGTCACTCATCCACGAGGGATGTGACCCATGTTCTAACTCACCTGGCAGCCCAGCCAGACAGGAAACCATCTGACAGTGCCCTTGAGTGAACGGGATGGGCTTCGCCGCTCTGGGCTGATCACGGTCCTCCAGCCAGGCCCACCGCCCCCTCACCCATCTGCAGCTTTGCCAAGGCCTTCGCTGAAGCCTGGGTCTTAAGCAGCCCCCAACTGCCACTTGCTCAAGGCTCAGTCCCCAGCTTGGTGCTGTTGGGCGGGGGGCCCAGTGGGAGTGCAGTAGTGACCTGGGCATGCCTTGGAGGAGGACACTAGGACCCCTGCCCCTGCCCCTCCCTCTGGGCTCCTTCCTTTTGCTCCCTAGCCATGAGGTGAGCAGTGCTCCCACCATGATGGGGTGCTTTCCCAAGGGCCCAGAAAGATAGGGCCAACAGCCAGGTGTGGTGGTACACATGCCTAGAATGCCACTACTCTGGGAGGCTGAGGCAGGAAGATCATAAATTTGAGCCCACTCTGGGCAACTTAGCAATTAAGGAAACCTTGTCTCAAAAATAGAAGATAAAAAAGGGCTAGTGTGATGTAGCTCAGTGTGAAGGCCCTGGGTTTGATCCCCAGGGCCACCAAAGGCCAGGGAAAGAGGGGTCAACCACTCACTGAAATCCCCCAATGCGTGCGCGAGAATAAACCTTTCCACACCCCAAACCTTAAACTTCCTCAACTTCCCCAGCGTAATCCTTCTTCAAATTTCTCTTGAATCTCATCTTTCTAGGCATGTTTTGGGCTCTTCCGGGGAAACAGAGAGTGTGATCTCCTTGTTGAGGCTGACTCTTGGGGGATTTGCTCCATCCCCTTCCACACAGGCAGTGAAATCTAATGGTGGGTTAGGCCTGTGCTGTCCAAAGTCAATGTAAGCAAATTCAAACCATGTCTTAGCTGCCTTTGAGCAGTTATTCCATCCCTCTTCACCTCAGTTTACAAAGCAGAAGTCACCGAGACTTCTGGAAGTGTGGGCTGGGAAGGAAGACAGGCTCACTAGGGCATCCCACCAGCTAAGGCAAGTCACACCCAGGCCCTGAGCACCAGCAGGCTGGGTCCCCCAGGCCACCAGTGTAACTGGCAATGTGGAACATTCTCAGCAGGCACCATGTAAAACCCAACTGCACATCTAGCGCACATTAAGCACTCAGTGTCAGCTGTTGTCCTTGGCTATCTTTTTTATTTTTAATAGAGGAGAGTTGCTTCTAGAGTCATTCCTCACCATGTGCAGACCACACAGACAGCCAAGAAAACCAGAAACTGCTGAGCAGCACACAGGTCTCCTTTCAAAAGAGTCAAAGAAAGCAGAGTGCAGCCCTCAACCCCACAGTGTGGATTTCCATAAAATCCAGTCACCCTACATGTCCTTCTTAAAGGAAGAAGATCCTTCCAAGTCAATTTCACCAACTCCTGGTCGCAGAGGGAAGCCAAATGCAGTTCCAGGAACACCCCTCCCCCACCGCCAATCCCTCAAAAACAAAACCCCATGGATACTGCAGTCCCTCCTGTAAAATTGTATAGTATATGCATGTTACTTATGAATTCTCCCCTATACTTTGAATCATTCTCTAGATGACTTGTGACACCTAATACAATGTAAATGCTGGGCAAATAGTTGTTACCCTGTACTGTACTGATTTCCCCCAAAAGTCTGTATATATTCAGTACAGATGCAGAGGTTTTTTCTTAACATTTGCAATCCTCATTTGGCTGAACCCATGGATGCAGCACTGTGGATGTGGAGGGCTGACTGCATATAGCAAGGTGTCCACGTTACCCCTTCGTGACCATACTAACCCCACAAACCTGCCCTGGCACCCCTGGCACCAACCACCCTTTCTGCAAAGGACAGAGGCAATGTGTGGGAACAGTATATACTGCACTGAAATAATTTTAAAGGTGCTCATGGACGATTAAGTTTGAAGATTGAAAAAAAAAACTGTGAGAAAACAGATGCAAGGATGGGAGGGTGGGCAGACTTTACCTGAAAATCTCTAAAATGTAAGCAGTTTGTGGTTGGCTCATTGCTGTTTCCGGAGCCTAGAAAGATGTGTGCAGAGAGCAGTATTCTGTGGAATGTGAATCATGGAAAGCTAGAACTGATAGTTTATAGTTGTTGAAGAGAATAACATTGGAAATACAAACTGAATCAACTACTTTGCACATTTAACTCTTTAAACTGAAATGAGGTGAGAGTGCACTTTTCACATAAGTAGCTTTTCTACTGTGGCCCATTAATGTTTCCTTCTTAGGTTTACTGTTGGAAGGTGGTCTCTTCCCAGCCCCCTGGGAGCAATGCTAAGCTCCGTGGGGGAGGGGCGCCTCAAGGAAGAGCCAGGAAGTGGCGCTAATTCCCCAGTCTGCCACCTGTAGGCTGGTTCCAGCAGACTGAACCCTCGGTGTCCACGAGACACACAAGAAAACAATGCATATTAAATAATGCTAAAAATTGAGCAACAGATGTGTGAAGACTATATATAGGGGAACCCTTGAATCACGGCTCCCGTGTGCCTGCCGCCCACCCCCTCTCATTGATTTGAACACTGCAAGCTGTGACCACAAGCTCTCTTGTTCCTATTCAGCCCTCCAAGGCTGGTCCCCTAATCTGAAAGAAGCTTTGAAAATTAATACTCCCATTAGGATGAACAACCACACCTGTATCGATCGGTGTTTCCAAGGCAGTTCGGCTCACATCTCGTTTTAAGAGCCAAGCAGTGAACTTAGAGAACAAAGGCCATTACGAATAAATAAAGAAAAGAAAAGCTGGACGGATTCTTTTTAAATTTCAAAACTCCAGGGCAAATAGCAAACATTGATTGCAAAGGCTTGGTTTGGGTTTCTGTAGGTGGCATTTAAACACGGCGAGTCTGCAGCGTGAGCATACACGATGTAATTCAGCACCATAAACCAAGTGTACTTACAGATGTCAAGAGTTCTCCCAGTAAGTGCCTCTCTAATCCGCTCTTCATCTATCGCTCCCATTCCCATTTGTCCACTCTTTATTAATATAGGAAAAAAGCAATTTTCATGAAAATGCCAAAATAAACTCTGGGGGACAATCACGTGTTTAATAGACATTTCCTGGTGTCTTTCCTACAGAGGTTTCTTAGTCACTCACTTCTCCGACTGGGGAGTCAAGAGCCTGCAAAGCATTCATTCATCCCCGCGGTCCGGAAGTCAGAAAACACGCCCCGGGACCCTTTCCCTAGGCCTTTCAGGGAGGGCGCGGGATCCGTGAGCGGCCAGAGCGGGCTGGCGGTCCTCGCCGCCCGGACTGAACCGCCACCTGCCCCGGGCCCGGCGCCCCGGCCCCAGGAGAGGCCGCGGTTAAGGCGAGCCACGACGCACAGCTCCGCGCCGGGTTCGAATCCCACCTTCCCGTGTGGGACGCGGCAGGGGACAGAGCCCTGCGCGCGGAGTTCCCGGCGGCCCGAACCCGCCCGGCGCGGACCGGCTGCTAGACGCCGGCTCGCTGCCCACGCTGACACGGCGAAGGGTGGACGCTAAGCTGCTGTTTGCACCAAGAAAAGTAACTCTGGGGATCGCCGCGATCCAAGGGGCCGCGGGACTCCGGGCGCGGCCAGACGGTCCCCGGAGTTATCCTGCGCGGAGTTCCGAGCTGCGCCTCGCGCCGCAGCCGCCCGACCCCGGTCCCGGCGCCGCAGCGCCCCGGGCGCCCTCTCCCGGCCCTGGCCCCACGGCCGCGGACACTCACCGAGAAGCCGGCCCAGAAGGGGCAGGAGTGGCGGACGCGGGCCGAGGTGGTGAGCGCCAGAGCGGCGAAGCTGACGGCCACGATGAGGCATCCGAGCGCCATCTGCGTGGCCCCGAGCGCCAGCACGATGCGGGAGCGGCCCGGGCACTCGCGCAGGCGGGACAGGCTGCGGGGCAGCGCGGCGGGGCGCTGGGCGCGGGGGCCGCCGGCCGGAGGCATAGCGCCGGGAGCCCGCACGCCTCGCCCGTCCGCGGGGCCGGACGGCGCCGCCTCTGCTCAGCGAGGGTCCGAGGCAAGTTGCGCCGGGCGTGGGGGCCGCCTCCCAGCTGGCCGAGGAGGCTGCGGCGGCCGCGCGCCGGGCGCGGGC